CGGTGCCGCCTCCTGAGGTAACGGCCGCCGCGCGCGCACCTCTGAGGGCAGTTACGCGCCTCTGGCCGGCCGAAGGCAAGATGGCAGGCGCAATAAAACCCCTCGGGCACGGCTACCCAGAGCAGATCGCACCCAGCACGGCTTCAGTGAAGATAACCTTGAATATTTTTCGCCAAATGAGGGGTCAAATTACCGTTTTCAAAGGTAGTGCGGGCGACCAGAAGGGAAAGCCGTCACCGCGAAGGCTGGCTGCAGGCAAGCCAGGCAAAGGCCAGTGACATGGATAAGGAAGCAGTATGTTGCAACGAGGAGACACAATCCTGTGGACTTTCAGGATCTCTGTATACCTTGAGCTACTTATTTGCTGCTTTGCTACTGGCTTCTTAAGGTCATAAGAGAATTTAATTATTAAAAGCTTGAGATGTAGCTTCTTGAATTTTTACAAGCTCTCATAAACTAGTACACTGCACAACCAAATCCATTTATCAACAAAACCAAAATTACTAAAATAAGCCAAAATGCAATCAAAACTACCACAAGTATCCCAGCGGTAAAAAAGCATGCAATAAAGCGCAGAATGGTAAGACATTGGATTTGACATTCAAAGTCTCTATTCTCCCCTTACAGTGGAACTGGGATTTCATAAATACTTCCATCTTTTCCTCCTCTTCCCCCATCTATTTGATTAGGCTGTGGGCAAGCACAGTCATTGCATAAGGGTAGATTCAACAGCAATCACACAGAGTAGACTAGTTCACATACCCCTGGATTTTTACAGTGACCAAATTAGCAAAATTAACTTGAAACAGGGTATAGACTTACAGTGTCAGGACTGAGTCTCATTCAAGCCTAAGTGGGATTTTGCAAATATGCATATTAAGACATCAAGGGCCACTGATCTCAAGGAGAAGTTTTTCCCACCGCTTGAGCTTCTTGGACGGACCTGGGAAGCTGCTGTAAAACTAGAAACTAATTCTATGCTGATTTACACTTTAAAGAATGTGAATACCTTCATGAAGGACACATCTTTGATTATATGGCAGTGGAAAGGGATGGAGAAGTCAGAAGAGGCAAGAGAAGTCACTGTTTTCATCACTGCCCTCTACAGCAATGTCACTGGTTGTGACTTAGAAATCCCTCATGTTTACATGCAGTTTTTCTCCTCAAATTAAGGATAGAGCACACAGCTGCTTACTGGGCTGCAGCTTCAATGCCACTGCCTCTTACTTGACAGCAGCTTCATTGCTACTGCCTCTTCTGCTTGACAGCCTCATTTGCTAGCAGATCCTTGGACTACAGCCCAACTGCCCTCTAATCCACCCAGGGCAGGCTTGAGCTCTCAAGCTCTGCTCATTACTCTCCACTCATACCCTACTGCCATCTCTTATAGTGCTATTCCTATTCCTTCTTATCTGGTTCAGTAATTACAAAGGTATCTGTGGAGCTCAAAAATTTATACTCTAGTAATGCAGAGGTTTTAGCAGAATATCTTTTGGAGACTTGCTGAAATGGCAATTTCCCCCTCCCCTCCCCTGGCAGGGGATCTTCAAACACTTCCAAAGAGCTGGACAGCTCTTTGCCTTCCCTTTTTCTACTATTCTATTTGAGATAGTTCATATGAACTGCTATTCCTGTTGCTTCTCCTAAGCTAATTGTTTCTGTTGTATGTGCACTAGACATCAGCTAGGATTCTGCATAATTTGCTCAACAACCAGAAGCACAATAAGCTGATGTTTCAATTTGGTGGAGCCAGGCTATGCAGCAAATGGAGTGGACCACATGGGACAAGAGAGTTAATTTCGGAAAGTAGCTGTACAAATCAAGAGGGACTATGCAAGCATAATGCATGGTCTTCATGATGTATACTTAATCCATTTCGCCCATTTGCCAACTATGGCACACAGCAAGGTGCACAGCAAGCTAAGATCTAGTACTAGAGGTTGAAAGAAACTGCCTAGAGTTGCATTGTTGTTCTTCTCTCTCTGCTTCCTGCCTCTTCCCAACTGATATCCTCACTTTCTTATTAGCTTGGAGTTTGTTAAATCAAGAACTTACTCCACCTTCCCCCAGCCTAATGACGGCACAGAGAACGTCAAAATCCTGTATTAGGCTTTATTCTTTTATATAAACATTAACATTTCTCAAACAGATTAGTTAAAAATACAGATTTAAACAAGAAATTTTGCAATTGCAATGAGTTATAAAAAACAACAGATTATTTTACAGATTGTTACAAGTGCTTTACAAAGGTGCAGAGTGAAGGCCAGTGGCAGGGGACCAACCTCAAGTGCAAAATGGACACAATACCCTCACCACGGGCATAGCGCTCAGATACACAGCCCAAAAAAAAAAAGAGCCATGTGAACCTAGACTCTTGGGATGCTCACCGGGCAAGCAAACATAGACCCCTATGAGAGAGAAGACTCTTGAGACCAAGCTACCAGGATACTTAAGGTTACATCTCTGAGATCAGCCACAAGATGTTGTTTCTTGGAAAATAAGGAACATATTTTTGCAACAATATATTTCTCTTCCATCAGATAAAATATCGCCGTAAATCCTACAATACTTATGGATGTGAATACTTAAGGACTTAGGGCATAAACCCAGTGTGGATTCTCAGCATGCCCAAAGTGGGGAACAAAGGATACAGGACTCAAGTGTCCTTCTAGAGCAATCGGCACTCCTCATACAGCAAGGACGTCCATATTCCAATCGCCAAGTACCTTGGAAAGACTTTGGCATAAGGAAGAAAGGCAAGTAGATCTGGTTACGCTCAGCATTTCTGCAGCACATGATCTGAGAGCTGTGTAGCCCATAGTTTAGGCAATGCCCATACCTCACTAAATGCAGCGTGTCCTCTCTCCTTGGCTGATACATCTTCATGCTCTCCTTGGAACACATGCAAACATGCTCCAAATTCTTGGAAGTTTTTGAGACCCTTCCACCACACCTGCCTTGCCTAGGTACCAGTCCTTCCCAAATTCCTTTCTTCTCTTCCACCCCCAAATATAAAAATCTATATCCCGACTTGTTTTGAAGTGCAGTTTTCCAGCTGTTAGCAAATCAAAGTAAAGTGAACTGGCTGAGAATCAGCATAAGATAAAGTGGTGATGCATTATATAAAAATCCACTACTTTATGCCTGACACCTTTCTGGTATATAAATGTCCCTTTCCCATACCCAAGGACCTCCCTTGCTAGATAAAGGGCACTACACATTCCAGGAATCCTCTTCCCAAAGGAAGGCCAGAGCAAAAGGGCAACTCTAGAGATGAAGTCTCACAATAAAGAAATAACAACAGCTACTTCTCTGGGAATCTTTGCAAAGGGCAGCACATACAAGAGATGTTACTTATAGGAAACCCAGTGAAACCCCTAGAACATCCACATTGACTTCCCTGAGCTCCTCAGATCCAGGTACACTGGGGACCCTGCAAAAGCCTTTTGAGCTGGATTACTCTCAATAGAGAGGGTTTGGCAAGTTCCTGCAAATTCACTTTCATAATCAACAGGAGAGGAAAGGATCAGTGGGCAAATCCCCAGGACATACTTAGAAAAGAGAAAGAGACTCTGAAGAGAGGTGTATGTGTATATGGGGAGGGTCTTCATTTCTACCGTTTTCAGATGTTCACGTTATCCATTTGGGGTGTGGGCATTACATCGAAACCAACTCCCCGTCCAATCAACCCCAGCTGCCTCCTACATAGCCTCATGACATCATTGAAATCCCAGACCCATCACTCCCTGCACTGCCTAGCCTAGAGTGCAGTGCCTTGGAGAGGGGAGGCTGGCTTCTCGTTAGCAAAGGCTGGGAGATGGCATTATGCCAACACATCAGTGCCCTGGGAGCATGCGGTCACTCATGCACATCCCAGATTTCTGAGAGCAGGGGAGGGAGTTTCTTGTCCTGCAGCCGAAGAGCAAACACCTGTTCAGAGTGGACGCTACTTAGCGTCCGAAGACTGACCAGCTTCATTAACATCCGTGGAAACATCAGGTGGTCCTGCAGGGTCACACAAAAAGACAGCTCTTAGTAAATCCACACTAAAACAAACAAAAAACTCATATAAACACTGGATGATGCATCGTAAACAGAATCCTAACTTCGTTTAAAACCAGCCGGAGATGGAAGTGTGAAGGAAGGAACAGAACACTATACCATGCCCCAAAACTCCAGATTCAAGACCTTCCAAGACGGCTAAACTATGGAACATTATACAGGACAGCAGATTGTGACATCTCACAGATTCTCCATTTATAGCTGCTACCACACAGTCACAAAAGGATACAGCATGAGCATACAGATGGCAAGAGAACCGCTACAGGCGGTACTGCAGGAACTGTGGCTGCACAAGCACAAAAATCAGTCTGCATCACTCCCGGGGATGTTCAAGTCAAGCACTTACATTTGGTCTGTTGATACAAATGTAAGAATGAAGGGCTTCGACATAGGTGTGCTGCAGCCTCTCCACCAGGGACTGGTCCTGCACATTCGGTCGGTCTGCCAAAAAGCAGGTTAGAAGTGAGCATGTTGCCACAGACAGCCTCACTTGAGGCTAACCCCAGTCCCTCAGTATGCTCCTTCCCCAAAACCTCATCTAGCATTCACCCAGCACAGCCAGGAGAGTCATCCAGGACTGCAGCAGTTTTCTGTCATGTCATTTTTCTGTAACTGTTGTTTCTCAGCCATGTTCACAGAATATGGTGAGTCTGATCTGAATTATATAGAGGTAGGAGGTTACAGAGACCAAATAGCACTGTCTAAATGTATTTGGTCTCATGTTCCTGTCCCAGGGAAGGTGAGAAGCTGCAGTTATTCTGAAAGGGATAGGACAGTTTCTCCAGAAGCTAACCAGGGGGAAAAAAGAAACGAAAAAAAAAAAAAAAAAAAAAAAAAGTTGATCTTTTGGGTTACAAGACACAGAAAACAGAAGCAAAGTAGAGAGGCAGCTTCTTTGCAAAGCCCTTTCCTGGCTCAGAGTTATACTGCTCTCACATCCAAAATATTTTTACTTGACCACTAGATGTCACTCATGTCACATGACTTGCATTACATCACAGGCATGGCAAGCACAGGAAAGGGACAGTAAAATAGCAATTTCTAAATGAGGAAGATTAATATTGTCCCATTTGGTATACATTTTTTTCCATCGGCAGGGTATCTGACTTCCTGTGGAGGTGGCACTAGAAGATTCAGAGTATAATGAGCAGAAGTAGTAATACGCTACTTATCCCCAGGTCCTATACCCTCTAACTCCTCTTTAGCCTGTGACCTTTCTTAACTCTTATTTTCTTTACCCCCAACTCAGTGCTGCAGCTCTTCAGTCCTTCCTGGCTTTTTACCTGCAGAGAAAATGTTGATGGCGATTAAAAGTGCATATTCAGCATCGTTGAGCTGTAGCTCATTCATTCCCTTTGAGAACTCAAAGATGGGGTTAATGAACTCAAATTGCAGACCTGCAACAAATAGAGGAGAAGAGGGTAAGGCTCAGCAATGGCATTTGTCTCTTGCTTCTCTCACTCACAGAATAAGCTTTCAGAAACCCACTGCAATAGATCAGGGAGTGCAGAGGAAACACCTCTATGTTGTGTCCCAAGTGCAGCTGAAACCTCCCTTCACAACAAACCACTACCAGAGAGCAACAGTAACAGTGGGTGAAGAGCCAGGCCCTAAACATAAAATGATACTATTTATAGGTCTTCTGAGAGCCTCAGATGTCCCACAGGACATTAACAGGTAATACCTAAAAGAAAATGACATCAATTCTATGATGTCTGTCAAAAAGTCAGAAGCCCACAAGTAGGGAATCCAAACTTTTGACTCACACCATTATCTCCTTCAAATCTGTGAGCCCTCATGCTTTCAAAAAAAGTTTTAATCCCATGCTCCAGATTCAGCTGAAGCCTGTCTGAGCTGAAAAATATAGTTCCAGGAGGCCTGAAATATCCCACTTCTTTTAGCTCCAAAAGCTGGGGGAGCTGAGGCAGAGTGTGACTTAGGCCTTTGATCACCTTTTGGATAAACGCAGTCTGGCAAAAACGTATTGGCATTCATTCTGTCATAGCATACAGCAGCAACTGCCACATTAGGTTTCTTTGTGCTGTATGCTGTACAAACATGCTGCAAGTTTTAAATCCTTCCCCCAAAACAAGGCCTCGAGTTTCTCATTTCCTGCAGTACAACTGCATCAGAGAAGAAAGAACAAGACAGAGGGAATCTCTCTGGCTGTCTGCTTTTTGCCTCCCTAAAAACCTGAGGAAAAAAAAAAAAAAGGAGGAGAAAAAGTACTTATTAAAACCTGAAAAAAAGAAACCAAGTTCAGACCCCTATAGTTTTGATCCCACATCAGAAGAATCTGACTATTACAGTTTGACAGTGCAGTGAGTGCAGGCATCCTAGGGCAGTAGGTTCACAGAAGGCCATCAGTGGCCTGGAGCATTGTCAGCTTGTCTGTGGCAGGTAAAAAGAATGACCATGGCTCATCCCATGAAGCTTGTGAACTGCCCCAGCTTTTTGCTATTAGAGTGTGCTGGGTTTGGTTCATCCCTCCCTTGCATAGCTACAGGGTCCCTAAGCAACAGAACTCCTAAGTTTCATTTCTCTCCCCCCCCCCCCCCCCCCCAAATCTCTTTCCACAGCTCTTATTTATTCCCAGGATTTGTAATGAGAACCTTTGAGTCAGGTGAGGGATGTATCAGCTGCTGGGGGGGAAAAAAAAAAACAAAGAGAAGCAGAGAAGAAAAGGAGGTATAGCCAGTAACTTAGAAGTAGCAGCCCTCCAAATCAATTCCCAGTGGGCAAGCCTGCAGACTGTCTTAAACAGAAACCTTGACAATAAGACCTACAGGGCTGAAACCTAATTCTTCCAGCTTAGTCATTATGTACAGTGAGACTGGAAGAAACAAACTCGCATAAGCTGCCACTCCTCTCTTATTTCATATGGGCTCTCAGTCAACCATGTAAACACTAAAGCTTGGCAAGCCCTGACAGACAAGCAGAGTCATAGTGCTGCTGGGCCAGATCAAAATGCTGAGAAGTGCCAGTGTCAGGAATTCCTGGGCATACTTGGATGGGAAATCTTAAGTAAAGGCCATCCCAAGTATAAACAGTTAAATAGCTACCCAAGGAATCGAAAAAATCACGTGAAGGACAGCCAAAGTCTCGTTTTCAGAAATGCCGAAGACACATACTTCCTGTTACTTCATCTGAAATTATGGATACTCATTGCTCCTGGAAAAAAAGGCTTCAGAAATCATCATATCATCATTGATCATCATATACTGAGCTAATGACAGGTCCACAGCATTCTGCAGGGATCTTCAGTACACAGTACAGACTTCATATCAACTGAAATACAATCATGATAAAGTCATCACTCAGAGCATGCATCTACATTACCAAGTGATACAGTGCAAAGAGAAGATTGGGGTTTGATTTGCTGTGATCTGATGCGGCTCTAAGACCACATACCCGCATCAGATCTTTACCAGCAGGAAGTTTACACCAGCTGCTACCCCTGGGTGCACATCCTGCATGCAGAGACAGCTAACGGCTGGAGCACCCACATCACAGGCAGGGCACCCCAGAGAGTGACCCAGTGCATGACTTCAGCCTTACTTCTACCAGCAACCAGAAGTGCACTCAAGTGCATACTGTAAGACTCCAGTCTTCCGTACAGAAAGATTTCCATGCTGTAAGAATCCAAATTTTCCAAAGCAAGTTCACACCTAGAAAGATGTGAACTGAGCCAATATCCTATGTTAAAAGCAAACAAGGTACGCGGGGAACACCTGTCTGGTCTTGTTCTAAACCTCTCACCTAATTTCCACTCCAAAGCCCCATATACTATTTCAGCAGCCCACAAGGAAAGGATGAAGAAACACGAGATACAGGGAAGGAAGAAACACCTGTCTAAAGCACCACCTGCTTTGGCGAAGTCATCCCGATTATAGCTCAGGTCCTTAAGAAACGTGATGCTCTCTATCTCTGGATTGTAGCGTCGAGACGTCTCCAACAGCATCACCTGAAACCAGAGGTCAGGGATACACTTGACTTAAATACAGCAAAAAACATTACAACATTGATAGTTTGTTGAGGGCTAAAGCATTCATTGGAAAAAAACAAGCCAAACCAAGCCAATCAAACAACAAAATCCAAACACGCTTCTCTCGCTCAGAATGCTTCAAAATTCCAAGGTAAATCCTGCTGTATTCTTTGCACTGTCTGCTCCTGGGAAGGGGAATACCTGCTCACCGCTACCAAGGCTCTTCCCCCATTCTCCTCGGGGGCCCTTTACCAGAATAGTCTGGCACTGGAGTAATGGTCCCATAGGTGAGGTTCTTTCAGTGTGTCACCCAGAAAAATGGATGGAGTTAGTTCTCCAGGTGGGTTCTCCAAATGTTTTCCTCTCTGCTATTATGTACTGTGGTGGAGCCAAACTCTCACCTCTATTGTAGATGTCTTCAACAAAGCAATCTGATCTTCCCTGGTGAGCTCCAGAAAGCCGGGCAGTTGCTTAGCAAAGTCCACAATCTCTTGCACAGAGATAATTGCAAGCTCCGTAAAGTGAGCAAAACGCTGCTGCCTCGCTTCACGGTTATTAGGATCAGGAACTTGGGGCCACGGCTGTGGGGATGGGAAGAGACACAGAGTGGAGACAGTGTATATATGTGAAAGATGGAGAGAGGGAAGAAAGATGGGGATGCAAAAGATGAAGTGAACAGAGAAAGAAAATGACTGAGACACATTGGAAACTCATCCTTTGCTATTCTTTACAGAACTTCAGCCTACAGATCCAATTCTTCAAGTATCTCCCTTCTCCCATATGCTTTTCTCACAACCCCGAGTTCCCAAACTTCACTTTTCTGATTTTGGGTCCACCGGTAGAGGTTTTACCGTCACTTTGAGCCTGTCTGTGAACGAGCGCTGGTTGCACTGCTGCTGAGCGGCCACAAGCTTCTCTATCATGCTCAACTGTTCAGGCGTCAGTTTGTGGGATGGGCTTGGCGGATGCGGAGGGTTTGGACGCACCACAACTGTCCGAGCCTGGTCATCCTCCTGCTTCTTCAGTTTCTTCAGCCGGATCTGCTCTTCAGACAGAACATCTAAAAGGAGGAATAGTCAGAGAGAAGCATGACATCAGAGTACAGTGGAAACCAAACTAAACATGGGGGAGCATGCTGTGGACAGAGAGGCAGGGTTTATAGCTGCCTGTATCTGGCACATCAGAGTATATATGACATAGACAGCAGGCAGCGATACTTTTGTTTGCTTCTCCCTCTTTTTCCCCACTTTAAGTTGTTTCGTTGCCTTTTTTGAAATGGTACTGTCCGGCAAAACGATCACAAAGGACAGAAGCTCCCTTCATGCTGCCCTGCAGACGTCAGAAAGGCAACAGTGGCTCCTCCCATTAGGCAAGTCCCCAAAAGGTAATGTTATAACAGATTCCAAGTGGTGCCCTCTCCGCATGTCACAGTCGTGCAATACATTTTATACCGTCCTAGTGTGTTGTCTTTTTCTGATATCGCTATATTAACAGCTTGCATCATTTCGTGTTCCTCTTAAGAGGTCAGAGTCAGTATTAGATGGAGTTGGAGCTTGAAAGGACAATCCTCTACGCAGCCGAGCTGCAGCAGAGCGTAAAGAACTAACATAAAGCAAGACGGATAATAAAATAATAGGTCTGTATAAATCTTTCTAAGGAGGAATGCAAGTCCTTCGGGAGTAGAGCTGGAAGTCTTCTTCAGTCATGAAGTAAAAGGGTCGTGACCACTTAGATGCAACTTTGTAAGGAGTAAAACAACTCAGAGAGGGGTATGTGTTGTGAAAAATCTTATTGGACCAGTTGCTCACGAGTTAATTTAAATACAAAAACCTGTTGAAGGCCTGTAACTAAGTGAACTGGACTGAAAAGTTCAATGATGTGAACGTTGAGGAGTTTGTTATTAAGTCAAATCTGTAAGAACTATCTGCAATCTGCATCAAAAAAAAGGAAAGAGAAACTATAAAACCTACCTGGATTATAACATTATCTTCAAGAAAATCATCCTACCAGTCAGTGATGAATGAACAAAAAGCAGAAAAGGGATTGACTGGCAAAGAAAACTGTATCTTCAAGAGAAAGAGATCACAAAATAAAGTTTGACCTTGCAAACAAGATTAAAAAGACACTAGAAGAGTCTTTGGACATTTTTTATACAAAGGTAACAAGGAAACATGGCTGCTACACAGGAAAGCAGGCCCCAAAATTGAACAAATATATTCTTGCACTTCTCAGAAGAATCACATTAGACATGAAGGCAAGAACTGGACGGCTACTGTGAAAGTGTGTTTGCAATGGAAATTAAAATACACAGCATTGGTGGGAAAGCCAAAGAACGTAACATATTCAGGCTGAGAGTAATCTTAATCCCAGACTTCCAACGGGGAGAGCGCACGTGGACGCACGCACGCATTCACACATACACACACAATCACAATTCAAACAGCAAAGGCATTCAATACAATTACTAAATTAGAGGGAAATCTGTAAGACTGGAGAATGCCAGTATTTGTCACAGTATTAGTCTACGTAGGGAAGGAAGCAACCCATGCAATTACAGTCCCTCATCTTATAGCTCAGACACACCAAGAATTTACAGCTGAGTAACAAGCTACCAAGTGTCAATGTATCTTGGGAACTGCCTATGTGCAAGCTCCAATGACATGGTAAATGCAAAGTAATCTGAGTTCACTCAGTTTTCCACAAAGGAATTTTTAACCTCATGGTGCACACTGGCTCAAGAACATATATAAACTGGCCACGAATAACTTCAGTCTGGGAATTAGAAGAATGTTTCCAACAATTAGCAAAAGGAAGCTCTGGAACGTCCTTCCAAGTGAAACAGCTGGGGAGAAAAGTCCTCAATTCCTGTCAAGATTAACAAGGCAAATTTACAGTGGGGACTACAGTGTCTGCAAGAATTGCCAAGCAGTTGATAATAATGATACAAAGACTCTTTCTGGCCTAATTTTCCTGAGTTGAAGTGCACCCTCTACCTTCACCACAAGATGATGAGTAAACATGAAATACATTGAAGCTCTCTGGAAACTACTTGCAACAGAAAAGCAGCAAGGTGGATAGGTAGCCTTGCTATGTAGCTTTTCAAATAAATCTGTTCTGTAGCTCTCTGGAGCAGGGAGCATGGAAATGGAGCAAAGGCAGCATCTGCAATGCTGCTCCAGACCAGTGTGATACTGATTACATACGTTAAGCGCAACATGTTTCACAAAAAAATGGAATGGCATGTTTCCTTGATGAAGCTCAGTGGGGCATCATTCATTTTACAGAAGTATATTAATAAAGATGTTTTTGAAATACACTGTGTTCATCATTGCTCTGAATATTGAATGCCAGGAAGGAGACATCACACAGTTTTTACATTAGCTGAGCATCTACTTGGTCAGTTTGGCCAGCAAAGGGCTGAAACCTGGCAGGGTAGGGCTGTCCCTGATATATGAGCAGAAGCATTGTGGGAAATCCAGAAACAGCAGCTTCATGGTTCATGCAAGAAAAATAACTAGGATTATTCCTAGGAATACAGCAGGGCTGCAGCTCTCAGCAGATCAGTGTTGTTCCACCAACAGCCTCACCTCTCCACTTAATCCCTACTGAGCCCTCAGTGACTTGCCACCTACATTCCAGCATGCACAGCTCGCACGTGACCCTCACAAGCATGCACGCTGCCTCCTTCCTTACGCCCACTGGCCACCAGCCCAGTCCCACATGCCTCCTGTCCCAGCACCATGGTGCTCCTGCCAGCACCGTTTCCTGCACTCACACTGCTCCCGCATGCCTGCCTCCTGGCATTTGCGCAGCCGGCACTCCTGACACTTGCGTCGCATGTACATGTCCATCTCGCACTTGCCACCGTTCTTGCAGACATACTGCGCACCCTTGATGACACTGCGGCGAAAGAAGCCCTTGCAGCCTTCACAGCTCAGCACATTGTAGTGGAAGCCTGAGGCCTTGTCCCCACACACGCTGCACACTTCATTTCCCAGCATCTTAGGTGCTGGACCCTTCTTCCGCTTCAGGGGAGGATTTTCTACAGAGAGGAACAATAACAACAACAAAAAAAAAACACACACACACACGAGGGAAGTATGGTGTTTGCAGCTGACTGCCACATTTCTTAGAATGACTGATATCCTCCCTCAAACCCACTACCTCCCAAACACACAGATAAACAGATCCATCCTCCCATTTCAGACTCCTCTTCTGGGCAAGGATATCTGCTGTGACAAACAACTATAGCCACTGTTGAAACAACTTCATTTCAAACATATAAGCAGATATAGCTTTAGATTTTTTTCAGTCCTAAATAGGCTGAAAGAGCTGAAACATGTTCGGGTCAGATGTTCTTCTGTACTTTCCCTCAGTAGGAGGGACAGTCAGCAACACGAGAAAGGGCTGCAAGAAAGTCGAGCTCAGACTGCCCAAAAAAATCAATTTATTTAAAATTCATCTCAGGTCTCTCACTTTTATCCTCGGCCATACTCTTATACACAAAGATAAAGAAATATGGTGCAGCAGCCCAAGTGTCACAGAAAAACAGCACTGAAAATTGTGATACTACAGAAAGCAGACTGAATAGGCAGTCTCCATAAATGGAAAAATGGGAGAAATTGTCAAGCTAGGAAATAGCGACCTTGTGGGGTTAGGGCCAAAAAGCAGGTGAGCAGCACATGGCAAAAGCTCTATGAATCTGTGGAACCTTGAAGCAATTCTGTCTTCTTCAAGAACAGTGCTCCCCACTCCTAAAACTAAAGTGCTCTCACATTGACAGTTCATTAAACCTTTTTATGCCATTTGAAACATAAGACCTTCACTACTGTCACATTTTAGAAGGTCTTGTGCAGCAGGTCCCACTTCTTCCTGGGTCATTCTGATGGATCTTAATCCAGTCATCTGCTGTATGTTTTGAAAACATCTTTGGTCTGCTCTGACGTGTCTCACCTGAAGAATTCCAGTGAAATGCTTGCCTACGTTATCGTGTATTCCCTCCCCTGAATGCGCCAGCCATCTCTCGTTTCATTCCATTAGTTCTAGCCATGTTGACATCTGACATGTCCTTCAGCACAGCTCATCATGCATGTTTTTTTTCTTTTCTGTAAGATGTTACAGATTTTTCTGCGGTAGCTGTTCATAAAGAATACAAACAGCATGATCTTGACAAGTCTCTAGATTATGTTTAGATATGCCTGGAGAGTCTTTATACCGGAGTTAATTTACAGGGTTTGGTTTGGAGGACAAGGCTGCTGTGTTTCCTGAGCGGCAACAGGGTTACAATGGCACGTCTGATTTTCATGCTTCTGGTTTTAATATTTTATCATTTCTCTCAGCTTTGCTTCCTATTCTGCTAACATACATGAAATGGTAAACAGTCAGAAAGGTTTAGGTCAGTCTCAAAAATTACTAGGAGTATTCTTCACTGCATATTCATTTTCACAGTCTTAAGTATCTTGGTGTTGATTTCCAATCCCATTGACTTTACAGAGGTCTGGAGGTCATTCACTTTGGCCTGCACATCTCACTGCAGATTGGACAGCAGGAAAGGTTAAGTCTCTGATATTCCTCTCTCTTGGTCTACCGTATTTCTCTTCACACAATCTATTACCAAGAAAAAATTATGCAATACCTACAGTTACTTTGAATGACTTAGTTTGCCATTACATACGTATTAACTGGCATCATAACTTTGCAGAAGCCCTAAATGATGTTCACATGTTTCTGAAAGACAGCAGGGTAACTTAATGACTTCCACACAATGGATCTGTCCATTGCAAAACAGATTTTTTACGCTGTCTTAAAAAGTTATAAAGAAGCGTGATTAGCATTCCCATGACTGTTTTTATGGAGACAGAGAAGCTTATCCTTTGATTTATGCAAACTGAATTGTTAGGGTTCAGAGATGGAAAACAAGTTATATAGCTTGTTACTGTCATTTTCTGAGGTTAGACAAAGATAAGACAGAAATAATTTGAGATGCATCAAGCCTGAGTGCCATTTCTATACCTTTGGATCTCATTAGGGTCTTTCACCTTTAGTAGATCCACTATTCAACCATTTTTTTCCCACATTTTGGCCTTTTTTTCCCTTGTGCCTTCAATAAGGCATTTACTATTTTTTCTTCTTTTATTGTCCTCAAATCTGCCTTAAGGCCTTTAATTGGGAGTT